AATTGGGAGAGAAGTTTAGCATAACTAAAATTATGAACAGGTTGCACTTTATGATTTTATGACAAAATTGTTCTAAGAGTTTACATAATATGTCATTGTAAAGTACATAACTTGTATGCATTTCAAGGCTGTAAGAAAAAGTTACTCAGATCAGAATTTTTGCAAAACCAAGGACACCAGTAGTAAGTCCCCAGACAAAAGTAATACACCTGCCTAAAAGTAACAGACTTGACAACAAAAGCTTGCCAAAGCTCTTTTTAATATCCCCACCTATCCTGACAACTCAGGATCTCAACCCAGATTGGCATTACGGAATCACACTCAAAGAATCAAGTTTAGTCATGCTTATTGGATGAGAGTACCTACACTAACTTTAATACCATGTCCATGTGCCAACTGCATAGCTCTTAGAGCCTAATCTTGGTAAAGTATTGAGGACTTTCAGATCTTACTGATCAGCAATTTCTAGGCCACTCATCTCAGAGCAAGTGGGCTTTCTCTTCAGGTTCCCAGACCTGCTGTTATCACTATGACTTCAGAATACCTTCCAGAAGGGCTGCAGATAACCTCATCAGGGCCTTGCAGCATGAAGTCCACTCCTGCTCCTTATTATGGACAGGACTGGGGCTGGACAGTTCCTTGGGCAGCTTAGCTAATACAGGCGGAACATCAGGTAGCATTGTCATTTCAGTCATGAACTCAAGAGGACAGAAGGGTTTGGAGCTCTAGGGTTTTTGTTTTGTTTTTAATATAAAAAAATACACATACTCATTTTCATATTAGAAAGACATTGCTGCTGAAGCTAGTGACAAAGTAGACAAGGAACAGGCAAAACACGCTCTTTAAATAATAAGAGCAACAGAAAATAGATGCTTCTACTTTAAAAGCAGATCCTATGTAAGTACAACTTTTAAGTATAAAGCAACGTAGAGTTTTAGCATCTATTGTTGTCTGTATCAAGTAACCTTTGACCTGTCAAATTGCTATTGACTCAATTTCCTATTTGGAAATCTTCTAAACTAAGAATGCAGAGTTAGCCATAAGCATGGAGAATGTGCACAATCTCATCATCAAGGATGTACATTTCAATGCCAGACTTGAGAGGCAATGAAGGGAAAGATTGGCAAGGCTTTAGTATGAAAGCAATCTGACTTCAAAAAGCCTTGATCCAGACTTAACTTGTAATGCCATAGCACTGTGACAGGCATTGGTGGGATGCTTTAATCAGCTCTTCCCCCTCTCCTGCACTATTTCTTGAGGCCTTCCAAGAACCCACTAACTTCTTGGCTCTTATTCTACACGGAGTGAGCCAGATGTTTCATCACTGCAGAAGAGCAGCACGCTGCTTCTCTTCTCATGCTTCACCAGTAATTTTAAAATAGGAGGTTTGAAGAAACTTTGTCAGAAGGTAGATATTAAACAAAAATCCACTGGGAACATAACCTTTCAAATTCACAAAGTATACCATAAAGCTGGATAGCCTCCATATAAGAAAAGTAATATACATTAATTCAATAAAGCTAAAATGAGATCTTCAACTAATCTATTTACTTTGCTTGTATTATAGAATAGAGGAGATACCTTAAACAGCAGGCTCAAGTCTTTCAAAGGCGGCCTCATGGCACAGAGACAATTGAAGAAACCAAAGCAGAGACTGTTGTGTCCAACTGCTTTTTAAGGACAGTCCCTTCTGGTTGCAAACTTGTAAGAATCAGCTTCTGTTCAGATTGAAAACTGGGAAGAACCCTCTAAAGCCATGACACTTGCAAGGAGTTTCAGTCATATAAGGATATTGGTCTTTGCAGCTGCATGACTGTCATTTTCTTCAAAAAAAAGTTCATAAAAGGTACACCAAGTAGGCATTCATGAAAAGGTTTTGACATAAGGCTGGATTCTGAGGGCAAAACCGACATTCAGGTTCTTACACTGGACTAGAATATGTAACTACAATATTTGTTCTTTATGAATAATTTCAGACTATATAGTCTGAAGCTCCATGTTCATTTACAGAAACCTAATCCAGTTCTTAAACATTTCTGATTTAAGAAATCTGACTAAGAAATTATAACATGCACAGCAAAATGCTTAGAGTCTCTCCCCTAAAAACAGTCATTAAATTCAGGATCAGTTAACAATGGTATTGTAGATTTTTGTCTACCAAAATTGGTAAATCAGGTCACTAAACAATGTTATGAAACTGTAGTACTGAGAGTAACAGAGTGGCTGTTCACCCAATTAAAACTATATCAGAAAAAAAACTATATTAAGGTAGTGTCTCTTATTCCAGCAGTAGATAATAAAAAGAAAATTTTATATATATATATTTGGAAAATACGTCCAGTACAAGTGACCTTGAAAATGAAGAATGCTTTGTCCTCTGTGAACACCTTACCCATTAAAAACTATCAAGACACACACAGTGATCTGACATTCTAACCTTCAAAGTATATTTCAATTTCAATTCTATTTTTAAATTAATGGCTGGGAAAAGGCATGAGTCACAGCCGTGGCTGGACCGCCCCCTTACTGGATACTCACCAAGTGCTATGTTTGTTCTACGGTTTTCCAAGTCAGAACAGGCTCTAACATTACCTCTTCAATCAGTTTAAAGTATTTGGACCTCACAGTTCTGTTCCCTAAGGCACTCCAGAATAGTGGCCTCCATATCCATTTTTATTTCCCCGTTTTGGCAAAAGTATTTGTTTCGAGCTTCAGGAAGCTATGGGATACTATAGCGTCCATAGAAAGTTCAGCTGTATGTTACCTACAGGCACCTTGTTTACGGTAATGTTGCAGCTGTTACACTCCATGTGTTGGAGAAATTCACTGACAGGCAAGATCAGCCAAATCTAAAGAGAAATCTCACTGAAGCACAGGTGAGAAATACAGACTCTGCAGTTGAAACAGTCAGGTGCACTCAGTGTAGCAGGTATTTGAAGGGTCATATATAGCCAAACACCTGGAGGAACACACTGCTGAAATACTTTACAAAAAAAAAAAAAAAAAAAAAAAAAAGGAGGGGGAGCAGAAATGGGGAAGTGAGCAAGCGGTACAGAACACACCTTTCCACAGGCGGAGGGAGGAAGTTAACATCCTGTGAGGCATCACGATCAGTTTTATGCACTCCCCAAACCTTAATTTTAGAAGCAGTCACGCATTCTGATACTCATCAAGAGGGTGACTCACACATATATGCAAGTTAACAAAGGGACTCAATACAAGGATTAAAGACTGTAAAGAGCAGTGGAAACCAAAAATCTATGGATTATATATCTAGTCAAATCCTGATTTACCATTCATCCTGCGCCGGCTAGTTTACTCTCTCTGGCAAAGCCACTGAAGTACAACTCTGTAGGCTCGTGCTTCAATCTCGGAGCCAGCTAGGCCCAGGCTGCCGACTATCCTAAGGAATTCTCCAGTACTCCAAATGTCTCGGTTGCCCTTAATGGAAGTATGGTTATACGGGGAAGGGGGTGGGGGGGAAGCTGATGGAGCAGGAAAAAATATCCACACTGAAACAGCCAAACCAGAAAAGAGGGGTGGCTGAAGACGACTGGAATGAAAGACCTGAAAACTAAGTCAGGAACACGAACAACCAAAGCAATAAATGAATACAGACTACGGAAATGGAGCAGGAGGGTACAAGCAAGAAAATTACAAATGGAATCAAAAGCTAATGTGACTGTTTCTGTGAAAGAAGCACATCTCATCGCAACAAAGAGTTAGTAGCGTATTCTCATGAACTAACTTCCCGTGCAGCAATCACCAGTTATTTTAGTGGATTACAGCTGTATGACCAGAAGAAATCATTTCCACATACTGTTGGGGAACTTCAAAAGCAACTAGCATGTCTGAAATCAATCTCTCTTCTCTTAAGTTTTACATAGCAAAATGTTGTAACAACTGCATAAAGTATTTTATATTAACAATGGAGAGGAGTTCAGACTGTAGGCTGCTCTAGGCTATGATTCATTCATGGCTCTCTGCCAAAAAAATAAATATATTCAAGACCAATGGCCTCAAGGGGAAAGGTAGGCCACTTTTTAAAAAGTGCAGAGATAAATGGTTTACAGAACAGAATACAGTTTAAGATTTCAGCCTACATAAATGATGAGGAAGAAATTTCTCAAGTCTTGCAAAGATTTACTGTACAGACTGGAACATTGGCAATGCATCAACAGATGGAGTAAACTAGGAACTATTAAACTGGGATTTGCAAAACTCCCTCAGAAGAACAAGAAATGACCCATTCTAATGCTATACACAAAGAAAGTTCACAAAGCCAAAAATCAAGATATGCAATGGCTACTTTAGCCATGCAAGATCAACAAGGCCAGTTCAGATTACAGGCAAACTCTGCAGTAAAGAAACACCTGTAAAGTGAGAGGCCAGTTCACTGGCAGTACGACAAACAGTGTAAAGGTTGGGTGGGTTTGACACTATACAGCATCTGCTGCACATAAAAATGTTTAATTAGCTGCTAAACAGCAAGCAGCACATTCCTATTTTTTTTTCCCCAACAAATTTTTTCCAATTAAATAAGTGCCCTTATATATATGAGGATAACTGTTCCCCTATAGGATCTGAGGTCAACTCACTCATATCAGATCGACTGGTAATTGACTTCTAATGTTTTGAAATACCATTTCAGTAGCAAACACATTCTGAAAAACACAAAAACTTCTAAATATATCTAACTTTAAAATTCAGAATAATATATTTAACTATATTGCTAATGGCTTTTAAAAGAAAGTTGTTCTTTTTTAAAACTGCATTTCATCATTACATTTTATTTTTATATATACACACACACACACACATATAGGTAGACAGATTTAATTGCTGCTCATCCTCAAATTTAGCCGTAGTGACAAATTCAACAGAAGAAATAGTGAGCCTCTTAGGAAATCTTATGAGGGCATCTTGCATCCTATTTAAGGTCTGGCACCCCCCCCCCCCCCCCTAAGGAACACCCCTTCAGAAAAAAAAAACAGCCACAACTCAAATTAGCAAATAAAAACCACGAAAGGGAGCTGGTTGTTAGAATCTGATCTTCACTCACGCTGCAGCCATATCCTAGGGAGGGTTCAGGAGCGTCCAGCTGTATTGATACACCACAGATTTAATTACTTACTTCTGTAGATTGAAGTCCAATCTATATATTTTCGTTAGTCTCAAAAGGGAATGAAATACCTATTCCACAATGGCAGGTACGTATGCATTTCAAGTCAAGCATGTGATAAAATGCTTTGCTAGTAAGAATTCTCAACCAGATGTTCGACAGTCTCGCAACACATGATCTCTCTTAACCAGTGCTTGAAGCAGTTGCGGTTTATGAGCTAGTGGTTTCACATCCTGTGGTACTGTTATTTAAGCAAGTTTTAAACGCCCCTGTCCTCACCTTTTCATTAAAAGAAGAAAAAAAAAAGTACAGGTTAGTCAGGAGGGTTTCATTCAACCATATTCATTCCCAGGATGGCTCATGATGTAAAACCTCACGAAATTTCAATACTACAGGAGGAAAGAATGAGCTCCTTGAAAGTCAGGAGCATGTAGTTTTGCCACTGACTGCTTTTCTGAATTTAGTCAAATTGCTTATTCCTTCTGGGGGTCAGTTTTTGCTTCATTTGTACACTACAGATGCTCCCACACCCCTACCAGGGCCTACATTTCTGTAGAACAGCTAGAAAACCTTAGATTCCTGATAGAATTCTGGAAATAACAAAAATCCAATTACTAACATGTTCAGTTACAGACATACATAAAAAGGAGATAAGTGAGGAAAATTTTAGAACAGCTTGTAGTTTTTAGCCCTTAATTATATGGTCACGCATTCACTGCATGAAATAGATAATTTTCTAACAGTCCAGTTGCAGCAACTGGAATTTTTAAAAGCATAAAGTCAACCATATTTCCCTGCTCACAGTATTTTTTTTTTTGCTGAGGTTGATCAGAAGAACTGAATTCACACAGAGAAAAATGTGAGTTCATTAAAAGTGATCTTGCTGAATTTGTCAAGGATAAATCCTCCCCCAAAAGTGAATACCCTCCCCTTTAACTGGAGTTAAGGCTGGATTAAGTCCTTTCCCAGACAGCCTTAAAAGTAAGAAAAATAAATGCAGCTAACAAAAGGAAGCCCAGAACATAGTATTTTTAATGTTGTGAGTGAATTTGAAGTTTTTTTAAAAACCACTCATAATTCATACAGATGGTTATTTTTGAAATTGCTGTTTCCAAAAGGAGTTAATGCATTAAATACCATCAATTTAATTATTTTTTTTTTTTTTGTATTCTAAAGCTTTCCATGGATGATCTTGCACAATTTTTTCCTGCTAATACTGTGGCACCTACTAAATGTTTGCCAATATCAAGTTTCTATCGTAAAAAAGAGTCTTCTGCCATGTTCCTGCCCATACACAACCTTCCCTCCAGCGTACTTAGCTTGGGACAAAAGAAAAATAAAAGTTACATCATTAGATTACTATAAAAGGCAGTTCTGACAGCGCTGCACTTCTTACCTGATAACTATTTCATTCGGAAGATCATGCCTCCACCCTGAATTGTTTCTCATGATGTTCATTAGTCCAAAAGCCTTGTATCTGTCTGTTTCTACCATTCGGATCAGTGTTCTCTGTTCTTATAAATTTTCCAATGAACATACCTGAGTAAGCCAATAATATCTGATTTCAGATCTCTTTTTACTGGGATTTATGCTAAAATTCACATTTGTATGACTATTTCAAGTTCTCATTACATATGAATTTAATTTTAAAGGTGTCTTTGGATAGGGTATATTTTATATACAAGACTCCTACATTATCCAGAAGGGAACCTCTGATCCTCATACAAAGAAAGAAAAAAAAAATTCAGATTAAAAAAAGGTTAATTTAAGCAGTGGCTTAGATTTCCTGGCTCCGTTTCTTGTAACATAAGTTCTTCTGAGCAGGGACTTTGACATCCTACTGATTCTGATAGGGCACAGAATGCCAGTACCATGTACCAAGCCATTCTCAGGCTTGAGTCACGTCTGCAGAATATGCCACAGTCAAAGGGATAGTCAGCTACTACTATCAGGAAAGAAGCATTTGAGGGGATTTCTCTTACCACATTCTAGATCTGCCAGCAACTGATGAGCAGCAAGATGTTAGGAATCTGTCTATTCTACCATCCTTTCCTTTAGAAAGTTACCATTTCATGATAACATTCTTTCCCAAGAAGAGAAAGAATGGGACAAATCAGTTTTATTTCCCAACTCTGGATTCAACTTCTGCCATTTTAAACTCAAAGACTTTGAAATATTCCATTTTTACCTGCCATTAAACCAAGCCTTAATGAGTCATATTACATACAATAAGATATTTTCTCTAGTTTCTCACTTAATCTTACACTTGGAACTGCTCCCCGGAAACAGGTAGCAGCCTTTAATCTTATTCCGGTAATTTTTCAGAATAAAGTTTCTAAATCAAATGGAATTTGAGCGATAGCCTTACTGATCACATGATACACAAGAAAAAATACATGCTCTTCAGGAAAGATGTATTTTACTTTCATTTTTAACCTTTAAATTATTTTTCTTCTGTATTGCCACTATCACAAATAAGATGACATGTTTGTGTCAAGTCCTTTCTATTAAGAAAAAAATCCCAGAAATCAGCAAACCCATTTGACTCAGTGAGAAAAACATTCTGTATAAAACCAAAGCTCTAGATTTACTGTACAATATTGTCAGAAAAATTCCATTCTTGAATGGCATTGTGAATGTGACATGTCATGTGACAATTCAATTTCTTTAGTTTAGTTCGTTCGATTAAGCAGGGGTGAACACGTTTTTACCTTTGTGGACAGTACTTTCAGGGAAAAAAGAAAAAAAAAAATCAATCAAACAGTAGATATTTTTGTTCATAATATCTCTGGCTTTAAAGCACTTAAATAAAACTTCTCTTCAGCCAAACCACCCACATCTATTAAATTTATATAGAGTAGACTGCAAAGGTCAATGAGTGTTTGACTTTGCTTCCAAATATGACACCCCTGACACTGACTGGCTATAAGTTTGATAGTTGTCATCTGAATCGCATGAAAGGAACATGCAAGCTTCATGAAAGGATCTGATACCTAACAAACTCCTTATTTTTGATACTTTCTTTTCTAAACTGGAAGTCAAACATACATTCTCAAAATTGTTGGTCTCGGAATTTTACAGGTTCAAGAAAAATTTACTCATTATGAAGTCTGTCCCGCAGAAGCACCCAGTAAATAAATGCCTTTAGGAGAAATTTAAGGCTAAAGCATACTCTTAAGTGCAGAAATAATGTATTTTAAGGTACATAACAATTTTAAGGTACATTCTAGTACAATCTAGTTAGAGAACTGGAGAGTCCATTGAGTTTTAAGTGCCTGAGAGGACTAAAACTGAGACTGCGAATATTTTGAAATAACTTGGAGTATTTTGGAAAGAAAAGGTACCAATATATAGAAAGTGAGTTTTTAGTTCATAGGTACAAGCACTCCATTTGACTCAGCAGTTCTGAAAATTCTCTGAAAAAGCCTAAGCTATAGTGTACAGAAAAACTAATTTCAGCATTTACATAGTAATTCCCTCATCCTGTTACCATCAAGTCTCTCCCACTAACAGAAATTTCTATTTCAGTAGTACAACTGGACACCTTAATTTTCAGAACAGACTTTTTAAATGCTTTACCTACTTGAGGAGATTAAAGTGCAACACCTGCAAAATATTTGGAGAAAAAAACCCATTTATTTACCCATACACAGTATTTCAAGACTCAAGATGTCTTCTTTAACCATCCCTTTGTCATCTTATATAACTTCTTCATACTGTAAGTTACAGATTTCTTTGCCCCTAAAAAATAACACAAAAACAGAAAATATCAACATTTAGAAAGACTTACTTAAACGTTATGTTCTTTTACTACTTCTTTCACTTTATGTTCTCTATTACTGCTTTAAGTAAAGTATTTCCCCTGGAAAAATGACAACAGCCTAATCCATCAGTGCAGACATGCAAATAACTTTCTTCTCACATACATATTACAGTAAGTAATGACACTTTTAGTACTATCAAAGCATGCAAAAACAGAACAGGCTTGGTCCAGTCTTAAGCCCTGATGATAATGTTGCAAATGAGCACAAAGGTAGAGTGACTCAAGATAAAACTCTCAACTAGTACAGGTAGAAACTGCTGTCAAGTAACTTACATTATCATTCTTAAATGCTAAAGATACAAAGGCTTTTAAAGCATTCATGTGTACTGCAGATCCTCAAACTAATATATTATGCTTTTCAAGCACTTTCTACTCCACCCCCAGGTAGCACATCCAGCTGAGTGGGACTGTATCTGGCTTGGCAAGGGATGCCAAAAACCTAATGGACTATATTACACAGCAAGACACCTGAGCAGGACCATTTACTGAAGTCTAGGCTGTTAAGCATGCAGGTTAATTAGCAGGCCACATCTGCAAGGGGAATCAAATCACTGAAGCATTTCAACTCTTGAGACAGCAGTCCACCACCAGATTTTTCAGATTAGATTAGGCCTAACCTTCAGGAACTATAGCTGCGCCCAAGCTGCATAGCCAGAATTTGACAGAAGGGATAACAGCAGAGAGAGACAGAGGTGAAACAATACAGCCAGTTTAAAAGACATTTGCTCAGGCAAGACAAGCACAGTCTACACAACTGGTACACAACAAGCTTTACGCTTCCAAACCCTACTTTACCAATTTATTCCGTTAACCAGATTTCAGTTAGGCTTGCTTGATGCTTTACACCAAGTTTAAGAGGCTCACTTTACAACTATGCAGTCAGATGTGTACGAGCATCTCCTAGTCTCATCCTGATTAAAGGTAATCAAACACTGCACACCACCACAAGCTTTCAAAATATAGTTTCAGCCTTTGGGGGGAAAAAAATAAAAATAAAAAACACACAACCAAACCTCAGAGCTTTGCTATTCAAAGGCTTGTGAGTTAAAAGTGGGAACAGAATATAGCAGTTCCCCTCACCCAGGAAGTGGGCTGCTGACTGCTGGGGTGGAAATCCCTTCTAGTTTCACCAAGTGGTAAAGTACATTATAACTTCCTTGAGTATTTTGTCATTGCCTCGTCGTAAGTAATGGCAGCTACCATTTCATAAATGAGACAATAGCACATCTGCAAGAGAATAACTCCGAGACTTCTATAGTGAAATGACATCTGTGTCCTTAGGTGAAAATTAATCATACTCATGATCATTTCAGTATGAACAAATAGATCAATAAAGCATACACCCACATGAACTAAAGTCCCCTGGTAAAATGAGAGAAGGAAAAAGAATCATGAGGTGACAAACAGCTATAATTTCACAACATCACCAATCTCGGACGTATACCACGGACATCAGTGTGAGCTCCCTGTTACAGGGATGGCAGCCCGGTCAGCTTCGCATCAGAGAGCCCTGCCTGTCACTTGTTTACAATAAACCTCCTATCATATTGGAGTAGCTGTAATACTCGAGCATTATCCTCCAACAGCCCACAAAAAATTCCACTAGCCGTGAACTTTGGAAAATACCATACCATTTTACTAGACCTACAACGAAGGAAGACATTTCTCAATTTTCATAACGATGCACAGGGATTCTGCAGCAGCCATTCCTTCAAAGTTTGGATCAGTTTTAGATACAAAGGGACTGAGGATAACTCCTATGCAATTTGTGAAGCACGCCTTTAGTCAAACAGTCCATAAAGTTCTACCAGAGGTGAGCCCCCTCTTACAGACCTAGACTAAGAAAGACACAGCCTTTTGCTGGGTTTAGTCACAGAATATTTAGAAACTTAAAATCAAACATTGTTAGTCTCGGCATCCCAGCAGGGCTCTGAGATTCTAGCCAGTGAAGCTACTTTTCTTTTTTCTTCCTTCCAATTTTTTGATAAAACAAAAAAACAGTGCAACTTTTCAGATTACAAAGTGTAATGAACTCTTACAAATTCAAGGCTGAAAATACAAGTTCTAATGCTGCACAAGTAGCTTTAATTGTATCCCTTACAAGCATAGGTAAAGAGTACAGTCCTGATATACAGTTTGTAATAAGTATAATGTGTTTATTTAATAGAACAATGTTTATCTGACAAGACTGAAGTCCACTGAAGTAATTAAGCAAAAAAACCAAAACAAAACACACAATATGACACACCAGAACCCAGAGAAAGATCTTCCAAAATAAATGAGGAAGTCAGACTCAGAGTTAACCATCTACTACCTTGCACTTATTTAAAATCAAATATTACTCTATACTTTTTTCTAAGTTCTCAGAAAGCACTCAAATGAAGATAAAAAGACAAATAATATTTTAAGTGAACAATACTTTTGTTATTAGTAGCCTAGAGTCACCTGAAGTCAAACGAGCATGAGATAATAGGAAAAAGTGCATGCTGTTACTTCTGAAAGAAAGCGATGGAGAATAAAAAGCCTATCACAAAAAACACACCGGACATAATCAGTTTTACACTTCTTGTGTATCTAATTGCAATCTACACAAACTGAACTTTATGTTTTGCAAGGAATCATACATACAGGTATTTTAAGCTTATAAAAGCATGTTCCTCCCATATGTATGCTCAAACTTTATATGTTTAATAGGTTTATACTAATAGCAAGCACACAAATGAAGTCATTATGTTACCTTTTCTGCAGTATCTCAAATGACCAGTAAATAATCGTGTGAATTCTGGGGCATCTCAGTTTATACTGCATGCAATTGCATGCAGTACAAGAACTCCAGTCACAGCATAAGGCTGAACTGTGCTTAGCACATAAATAGAAGTAGTTCCAATCCCAAAAGTTAAAATTCACCCGTATCATTTTGATAACTACTGTTCAATCTCCTAGGTACTATACTTCCAGAATACACCCCCTCTAGTTACCAAAATTGTTTTGCAAGGATCAATGCTGCCCTGCCATTCGAATGAAGTTCTGGAATAGAGGTATAGCATATGGCAAATAAACAGTAACACAGCTGATTAGTCCTGCAGGATTGTAATTAACTGCACTGGCACCGTAGCCTGCAAGTCGGCTTGTTCTAACAGTTTGCCAACCCATTCGGCCTCATGCAGCAGCTCAACTTTAAAAGATTTTTCATCCTAATATTTTCCCCCTGCAGGGAGCACTCTACTGAGCTCCACCCACTAGAGCCTTGAACCTAGCATCTTATGTAATAAGATGCTTAAATTTCTGCCCTAGCCCATCATGCTACAAAGCAAAATACAGGTTTATACATACAGCTGGTTTCTTATAGCAGCCCTCAGGGTGATGAGTCACATGTGTAGTAAAAGTTAATGGTTGTAATTATGGCTCAGTCTCAGAATCTGAAGCAGTTGGACCACATAAAATGTCTTTCTACTTTAGCTATGAATCTATGACTTGGTGGTTCCACCTCCCCTTTAGATTTTTCCACTATATGGTACAGAACAAAGACCTAAGGCACATGGAATTAAGACCACAAAATGTCAGTGTAAATATAAGTTGTATCTGGTTTTGGTTAAGAAACTCATGATCCTTTTTTGGAACTGTGTTATATTATAGCCAAATTACTAACTTACACGTCCCCCAAAGTTCCTCTGTAGATAGACCTGGATACAGCACTACTTCCTTTTGAAAAGAAGGATTAATGCATATATTGCTGCAATACAGCGGAGGCAAATATTTATATCCTATTAGTTTTTCATGCACAGATGCATATAAACTTCTCACACATATTTACAGGGAAGTGCAGTGGTATGCAACATTTGCTCAGCCAGCTGATGAAGATAGCAGTTACTGCAGCATCTACTGAATATTTTCTATATAAGGCTGTTCTTTATAGTTAACAAAATACTTCAATAAAGAAAACAGTATACTAAGACCCCAATTAAAAAAAAAAAGCTATTCAGAGCAGCTACAAGCATTTGTGTTAACTTAAAAAGGTCTTGAACAATTGCTTCAACTGATGGTTTAATTCGTAATATTTTATTTATGAGACATTTTCAAGGCTTGCAGTGTTCCTTTGGTATGATATAAGAAAGAAATCTAAGCTTAAAAAGTATCAACATCTCCTTCAGAGGAGCTAAATGTAAAAACTTCAGAGTTACTTCCCAAAGACCATGCAGACTCTGGTTATGTGAGAAAATAAATCAAATGATGGTGCCATCTCTAATGGGAAACAGAGGCAATCTCACCACAGAATTGAAAAAAAAAATATAGGCACATTTTCAAAAACTAAATAGGGCATTTAACAACAAACAAAAACACAAAACTCGAGCTCAACTTCAAAACCACATTGGCAAAGAAAAATGAAAAAAGTTCTTAAATGGGTCGAGATTCTTTATTTTGACTGTGCTTCTTTCCAACGTTAGTACACAGCATGCCATTTCAGTAATAAGTACTCCTGATTTAACTTGTAATTTAGCACCATGCTGTACATTGACTACAATGCTGCAGATCACACAGTAGGCATTTCAGATATTTTTTAAGATCTAACAATCAGCCAAAGAAATTATTTTGTGTTCCCCATAACAGTTCAAAAAGAATGATGGCCAGATAATGAAAACTAATTCTTTCACAAACAGACTTAGGACAAAAGTATTGTTCAGTTACCAGGAAAAAAAAAAAAAAAAAAAAAGACAGAGCTTCTATAACGGAGCCACTAATTTCATGACTTTCATAATTTTCTTGTATTTTAGTTAATGCTCTTAACAAGAGCATGGCAGAAGCACAGAACAGAAGAATAAGAGAGAGCCATAATACTTTTCTTAAAGTCTCTACTAGAAAGTAAAAAATACTGCTTAGGGGGACAGAACATTAGACAAGATATGGTTAAAGAATAAAAAAAGTCTAAGCATGCTTTATTTCTAAGTTTAATAGCTGAACACTTTCCTGTAATAGACATTTACTGTATGGTTTAAGCAAATAATTTCTATGGACGAGCTACCACTTTTTTGTCTGGACACAGTATATGTATTAGCGCAGAAGAGCCTAAATAAATGGCAGTGCAGCTGAACAGCATTTATGACTGCCCTCTAGCGACATATTTTAAAATCAAGAAACTGCAATCGGAATATCTTTATTAGAAGGTACAGCAAGATTTCAGATAGATTCAATCATGTATTTCTCTCCAACAGAGAAAAATGTAAGACAATTTAAGTAAAACGCTTCTATTAACTAACTCCTAAGACAATGGAAACCCATCATCATCCCTCCTAAATTCCACTGGAGATTCCTGGAAAAATCATACAAACCTTTAAAGTCAAGGAAGGGCCACAAACGGTCCTTTTCCAAAAATAACTCATAACCCTGAGCACATAATCTTTGGGTAACCCCAAAAGATCGATCCTGAATTCTGTTGCTCATGGTTTTGGCCAGATTCTGGTAGAAGTGCATAAATACACTTAAAAAGAAAAACACACAAAACCATGCTAAAAATAATAATAAAAAAACTCCCAAGGCTCTGCCAAATTTAGTTCATGTTTGAGGCAAAGGTTCATAATAGGTTTGTTTTACCTGAACCAAACTCCAAAGATCTGTTTCCAATACTAAAAGCATTGATGGAAAATATACTGATTAAATGTGTTAGTCTATGTAACTGGCTGAAGCTAACTAAAGTTTACGTTAAAGCAAAAAACCAATGCCACTATATATAAACCAAAAAGCAGCATTAAAGACAAAAGGAAAGGACATTTCAAGAGTACCCATCTTCAGATGCACAAAGTGAAAAAGTGCTGTAAAAATTACGAGCCCTATTGAAACATGCATTAGAACCTTCCAAAAGCTCTAGTAACAATATAGGCTTTAAGTGATTTGCTGAATGACACACGAGAGGAATTAATGATTCCCAGAGGTTGTTTTCTGTCTATCAAAATGTAGGCAGATGGAGAGTATAACATGATGAAGCTTAATTGCTTTTTTTCATAGTACTGTAATTACACACGAACAGCTTTACTCCCCAGATCAGTTAGGCTGTTAACTTTCACAAGCGCTGAATTCAGACACAAAAACACTTTATCCTCTTCCCCTCCCCCAAATTTTTTTGCTCTACAAAGTCTACCATCTGTGGATTTAAAAAGAAATAGGTTACAAGCTGGTATTTCCAGAACAGATATGCTGCAGTACCAAAAGTCTTGATCATCAGTAGGCAATTTTGAAAACAAATCCTAAAAGAACAAAATCTTCACTTTTTTTTTTTTTTTTGGAGACCTTACTTTAGGAAGTCATACAAAAGCAGTATGCCTGACATAAGAAAAAATTTGCTTTTCCCTCAGATGGGGTTACATCCTTAATCTCCTCCAACTACTAAACAAAATTAGGCAATAGTTCTATTATACTTCTTCCAGTTAATAAAACCAGACTGTTAAAAGAAACATATAAAAAGAAAGTCAATTTACAAAGTACAAGTGTTCCCACTTACTTTACTCAGCAGACCACTAACGGTCCCGAACACTGCAACTTGTGTTTCTTTTAAAGGGGCCAGGAAGTATAACATGAAATAGTCACCAATTTTAGTTCTAAATAGGAAGCAGAGAGAGGCTGTAGAAATCTGAATAAGACATAGGAATGTATACACTTGCTTTTTAAGCCAATAACGGCATCATTTGTATATAATTGCTTTTGTGGAAAAAGGAATAGGTATGAAAGAACCCAGACAATTTGAGTCACTTCATGCAAGCAGCAAGGGTCTTTGATTTCGCAGGAATTAAGATAAACTCCTGATCAAAGTTTTGTTTCGGTTAACGAAACTCAGTTAATGAAAAAAACTTCACTGCAGTTTTTCAGCTGTTTTAGTATTAAAAAATTAGGGCACCTTAAAATTGAATCTATTCTAGGACATGGAAAGACAGGATGAAGCTTCAGCCACGGAACTAGCAGCAACTTTTGCTCAGTTAGGAAGACTAGGAATGCTTTTCAGCTATGAAAGTCTTCTCATTTTTCTACACAAGCAAATCACTTTTCTCCTCTATACGTTCTCACCTGACTTTGTAATACTAAGTCTTGCTCTGAAGTAGCTCATCTTTATGTGTGAGTTACAGTAATATACAGTGTTCACCAATTATAGGCTCAGTTTGAAATATAAGATGTATTTGAATACACACTTGTCTTCTCATCCTGGAGAGAAGCATCAGATCCTGCTAAATTACCTCCCTCAAATCTCATCTCTCCTTTACTTTATGATGAAACAGCATTGTTCTCTTACATGAGTCACAATTATGTATTGATCATTTTGGGATCCATTCACATGTATAAAGTCAGAAGGAATTGTGAAGTAATTCTATTCATGCAAAAAGAGTAGAACCAGTGCACATGAGCCCAATCTGGCCCACACAAAAAACTGCGAACTTTTTTTTTGGTCACGTAGCCCCCAATTCCTTTTGACGTTTTACAATTTTTCAATAGTTACAGAAAGCAGAAATATCTACTTTAAACATTTTCATTAGATACCCAAGAAGTTTAGAGAATAAACTCCCGCAAAGGCAGTGTCGGGGCCTTAAAATTTTACTTTGCAAAAATCAGAAAGCCTACGTGGATAGAAATCACACACATTCTTACCAGCTGTTAGTATGGTTTTAGCACTCTGCACTAGGCTGGAAGATCTCACAATTCCCGAAATGCCTGCAGACAGAAAAATGCACAGATGTTATCCATCTTAGTAGATTCGCAGGGTTTTATCCTCTAACATACAAAAAAAGTTCAATATTTTTCCAGGTATATCAGCAAGCCAACCTGAAAGTAAAACTTACACTTAAGTTAAGAAATGGTATTTCTAGTCTGCTTTGTCATATTAATTCAAAATACTCTGTTTTATATTTACTTGTTACTTTAACTTATTTTAAATAAAACAATATGCAAAAAAACCAATATTAAAACAGGTAATACCCTAGTAAGAATTGATCCAATTAGTTTGTCCAGTCTTCCCACTATTTCTCTACTAAATTAATTTGTCACAAGTGGTTCCAAAGTTATGTTTCATCTAGGCGCTGGTATTTTAAACTGTTTTGGTCCAGAAAGTTATATTCCTTGTTTCCTTCAACACAAAATTGGGATTTTGCATGTCTTTAGTCAAGCAGAAATGCCTATATTGTTCAGTATTTGTCTGGCTTATTTAAATCATCAACTTTCAAGGGTAATGTTCATTTACCAACTTGTATTGCGGCACATTCAGTTCCTACGGAATTATTAATGGAATAGTAGATAAAATAGTATTTTTTTAAATGCTTTAATAAGTCCTATCTGTTCTAATGCATATTTACAGGCATATGGACATAGGCAAAACAAAACTATTGGATATGAAATACTTTAATAATGCAGAAAAGTAGCAGTCCCAACGTTAATCTTCCAAACTACAAGGATTTTTTGCATAAATGTAGAATATCATTTCCAATATCACTTTTAAAACCTTCTTTCAAAGCTACTTCTATAATCAAAAACAAACATAGGGAAAACCATGCATAACAGAAATATAACATTTCATCTGAAAAAAATAAATTGTTTTTAACTCAACATCATTTGTTGAATAATCAAACATCTGAGAAAAAAACAATTCTTCAACTTGAGCAATCATTTTAGTCTTGCATGACTTGCGATGGCTTGCACTGTTCTTTATCCCAATTTTTGAACATGAAAATTCTTTTGGCCACAACAGTGAAATAGAGGTTTTCATTTCTTCTAAGAGTATAAGCATATAAGCTGCTCGGCTTGAGAAGACTAGATCTACCCAGTGTTTTGGTACTGCATGGTTCACTGCTGCACGACCGTGCACAGATCACAGTCACACAAATACCCTGCAAAAACACAACCATAGGAATAGGTAGCTCAGGGTGGATAAATCAAAGTACGTAGCTCAGAAGCACCACCACTCCTGCTCCCAAGACTGAGCTATTATCATATTACTGTTGTATTCCAGCCCTACTGGCACAGAAACTAACATTGATTGACATGACAGAAGCTGGACATCCCAGATGTCCAGATGCAATTCATCCCAGGCTATCTATGGAGAACTGGGATTCTCATGAACTGTTACCGCCCCAAATAGAAATCAGCCCGAGAGCTCCCTCCTCCCTTGACTTGCGTCTTGTGGCTCTCGAGCATGTGAGGAGTTTTGGTTGGGCTCACGGAGCCTGCAAAATCGGCCACCTGTAATTAAGACATATCAAGTTCTTTAAAGATGTGAAGGACTGTACAAACACTAAACATTTCCATTTATCTGCAAAATAATAAAGCTGCAGATTGGTACCTGCAGCACAAGCTTTCACCCTTCAACTTGCTCATACAAAGTAGCTTCTCTTAGGCAAGACTACTATCTGTGATGATGAGAAGTGCCTCAATCTTTTTCCTCAAAGTTTGAGGTCTCTGCCAGAGATATTTGAAGTAGCTATGATAATCTGGAAGGGTAACGTCAACAAGCTCAAAAATTAACCTAGTAATACAAGGTACCACTAGTAGGATATATAACTTAACATTGTAATGAAGTCATGTCAGGCAACGAAATCCTGAAGATAAGTAAAACACAAATAGAGTTAGATGGTCTGAGAAGTTTGTTACATCCTAAGGACTATTCTTTTCAAGATCCGAAAAGAAATTCACACCTTTCTACATCAGGAGGAGTGCTATTTGGTAGTATTTCAGAGAACCTGTTTGCAATCAAATCAACCCCAAAACATGCCTTTTGGAATGTATATTCTCCTCTCTCAAACATCCTTCTGAACTGGAAGAACATATATAATAAACCTTTACATCTATCATGTCTTAAAGAAGATTGCAAACATTGATCTAGACCTACCTTGATGTACCACAAATCCACAGTCAGGGTCATGAGCAACTTGCATTAAAATTTCTTCCACATCTCTGTTTTTTCCAGGAGGGTCTACCACAGAAGTTATCTTTTGCTGTAGAGTCCTTGGCAGAGACATTAGTTGCGCAAATTGACCTTCCGGACTTTTATCGATCTGAATTTTATAAGTAGTAAGACAGTAACAGCATACGGTGTTAACAAAATAATTTCTCTTCTCAAAGAGGTCACAAAAGTCTTCTGGCTACCTTTGGTCTATGATAAAGCTTTGGAGTTGCATATCTCAAAACACATCATTTTATGTGCAAAAGTCTCTGACACTGGTAACAAAAGCTCCTCATGCACTGGAAAAGGCTGTATCTCAGTTCTGAGAACCTGAATAACCCAATGGAAAGATGTTGGTTTTTATCCAAGGGAAGGCTTAGGTACATACACAATCTTGCTGCCTCTGCAGGCAACTTATCATGGAAACTACCATTTCTGTTCTATTCAATTTCCTTTGAAAGTGTAAGTACACTACAATGAAAAAAATTGTCCCAAAAGACCACTTATCTCAGTGCTGCTTCTGCTGAAGAGAATACTATAGAAACTATATATACACATTCATTTAAAGTTTAGTTTGAAAAACATTTCTCTGCTTTAACCTTAAACTACATCTGGTTCATATAATTTGAAGGAAACATTTATTCCACATTTTCCAGTCTAAATCAGAAATTCAACAATCCTTTTCTGAATGTAACACCACCAACATGCAGGTCTGTACACATTTCTACAAAATGTGAGCACAAATACTGAAAAAGAGCATAACGGAGTAGATCTCTCCAAAATTGGAGGAAAATATTAAGAGCCTGATTCTTCCCACACGGCTTTTTAGACATTTCATGGAAATATCAGACAGAAGCCTAGTTGCCCTATACTTCCTCTAGTCAACGGGGAGACAATTATATCCAGATGAATCACTCACCGAATACGCAGGCAGTCAACAATAAGCAGACGCCTGACATTATGTGGGAGGAATCCACGCCTAGACCAGAACTATAAGAACAGTGTCTGCCTTCAATTGTTTTTGAGGAATCTATTAAGAAAAATTTTTCCCTGTAATTTTGAAGACATATACTTGCAAGGGAGGGTTGCTATTGTGTGTTAAATAGGACTCTAGATAGCAGTTATCCTCTTCAATCCAAGGTATAACAGCAAATATCCAGAGCATGGTATAAGGAATAAAAGTATTAAATCACTTTGCTCAAAACTAATAGTAAAAAAAAAAAAAAAAAAAAAGGCATTTAGTCAAAAACCTCAGTGACTAACATGGAATTGCAAACAGATTTATTAACCCACAACTATTTGTATTTTGTACTACTAGGTTTTACGTACATGTAAGTTAACAGGGAGTATTATTCTAACTAGTCATCTTCTTGGAGAAAGTACCATCAGTTATGTTCAAAATTCATTTAAAATACTTCTACCATTAAAAAGGTCACAAACCCACCGGTAAAAAAAACACGCAGATAGCTACACTATAACATAGATTTGCCCATACTGTACTCCAAAGGGCTGTGGTAAAATTGTTTCCCCATACTCAAGCTTGCTTATATCTAAAACAACTTAATGAGATAATTACCAAGGTGACCTGAGAATAAACAGATAACTCATGTCCATGAGACAACCCATGCTATTTGTAACTTAATGTTGAAATGTATACCATAGTTTAATATTTACACAAAGACATGCATACTACAATAAAGAAGAAAAATTGCTATCGGACCCCTGACTGTGGCGCAGCATGCCTAATTGCAATTTTTCCACTTATACGTTATGCCACAAAGATGGAATGCAAGGCACCATTTTGGACGCTCGTTTCCTGAATGCTAGGAACATATTTATTGAGTATGGGTATTTAAATATAATGTTGAAGCTATATCTGAGTTTAGTCAACTATATCTGAGTTTAGTCAAGTGACCTTTATAATTAGCACTCTAGAGCTTTTTGTAGATGCAGTTTTTGGTTGCAGAAAGTTGCACCTCTAAGTTATGGCCTAATCTTTTAAAACATAAATTGAATGTTTGTGCTTCACTTCCTACACTGTTGTTTCCACATGGTAGTCATTAAGTCACACATCTTAAAACAATCTTCTGCTTCCTTGCTAGGGCTCTATTCCTACAACCATTCTCAAAGAATATGAGCAGCAGTTATTACCCAGGCAGAGACTGATATTTAAGGCAAGTTTTCTGGTTGCAGAATTAACTGAACAATATAAATATAACAAACAGTCGGTATAATAACTAGAGCTGCTCATGTTGGAATATGGCAGAATTCTTGCCTTCTGTCCATGTCACAAAGCAGTTCCACTTGTTTGTTTTAGAAATGTATTGAAGAAAACCACTTGCCTCTAACCTTCCCAGATGGTGCTTATATACCACTTGAGGGCAGTCCTGTAATATGTTACTGTACAGCTTCTGAAAATGGGGAACATTAGGTTTCACTATATTCTGCACCTTTGATCTGTCTTCTCCTATTATCATTCTGAAATCACCTAGACAAAGAAAGAAAATCAGTTAATTCACTAGGTAAAAATTGAAAAAACAAACAAAGCAAGAGAATATAACAGAAACCTCAATGGTATAAAGCTGCCATTTAAAATTCTTTATTCTCCAGTTATACCTATGCCTACACATTCCACAATAAGGTTCACCTAACAGTAAAAAATATTATTCAAATTCCCTTGAGCACAGCAAATACGGTTCAGAATGGTGATGTGGCCTCTGCTATGCTGTAATGTCATCAGCTCACATATATCCACATTTTAACTTGGACAACAAAAAATTCAGCTGCCAAGTTCAGCCCTGAAAGCAGGAAAACGATCATACACCAGTTTTAATAGGTTATCAAACAGTATTACTTTGACCAGTCACAATAATTTTCATCCAGAAACAAATAACCTTTAACTTCCTATGCTGAACGAAAATAACTTCTGTGATCTCTGCATTTCAAGGACAATACCTGAAGCACAGCTCAGAGCAGTCGGGGTCAGATCACAAGGTCACATTTTCTCCTAGTTGAGTACTTTGTTAGTAACTTCTTTCAACACCAGTACTACTTGGGTTACCCTCACACTTTCTTTTGTGACACCCAACTGAAAAGTTTCACAAAGTATCAGTGAAAAGAGGGTCTGCAACATGGTATTCACCTGTGTCAGACACTACCCTGCTTCCAGAATTAACAAACAGCACTTAGATGCTCAGTGCAGCACAAACCAACAAACAATACCCTCAACTAATTCATTCCACCAATTCCTACATTTAGGAGATAAACATTATTGCAAGGTGGCAACTTAGCGGTACTAATTTAGTTTATTTCAAATATGCTAGCCAGCAAAACAAACACTTCCTGTACAAGTAGCACTGCTTCACTGCTCTCAAACTTTAGGTTAAAATAAACAAACATCTTCAAAATAGAATCATGAAAACCTCTTCAGCAGTTAGGTGTTCCAAGGGGACTGATTAAAGAAATACATAAAAATCAATTTTATCTTCTGGTATTCCCCCTGAAAAGTTTAAGACTTAGTAAAATGGATGCAAAATAAAAAGCCCACAAATACATCACTGACAGTCCTTTTCTTGAACATTCCCAATAAGGAGTCTTACTGTTTAAGCTTTACTCATGCAGCAGAGCCAATTTCAGCATCTTACAGCACGGTAACCAATCTCCCACTTTTTTAGTGGGCGATCCCATTGTTTCAAAGAATACATATAAAATATTTTGGTCACTTGTGATCATTGAGAATACAGTGACATTCCTGGGCACGTTTCAGGTAGGCAAGTACCTAGCCATATAGCAAACACACTTGGCTAGTAACCCGTAGCCATCACACTGCCAGTGCCCTCTGTTGTTACTCTCAAACAGCTAATGAGTCAGGTTAAAAAACAAAAAGGTTAAATTTGGAGGTGGGAATATTTCACTTAACAGAACCTTTGGAGTGTCCCAAATATAGTCTGCTAATATTCTGCATGAATGTACTACATCTATGCATACAAAACTACATAAAAATGATGACAATCCCATAATTAAGACAGATGAATGTGTAGAGAAAAAAATATGATGGAAAGGTAGAGCAATTTGCAAGAACATCTGACCACAGAAGAGTTCAACGTAATGAACAGTAAGACTCATTAGTGGAACGAAGCTGCCACATGTAAAACATTACTTATGTTTCTTTTTTAAGAAAAAGACATTTTCAGGGTAAGGAAAAAACCCCAAAAACTAAAAGTATGGGGGTTTAGCCCTTTCTAGTTGTTAATTCTTGTATTTTTATATAAGCAACGGAAGTCCTGTGTAAAGCATGACTCAAATCACACTTGTTTATAGCGACTTCATTAAGGATATCAGCATTGAAAGAATAATATTTAGTTACATGATAACAACCAATTCTATTGTAAGAATGATGCAGAGTCATTCAGAGTGATTTCTTTGGTTTTGTTTTTTTGCCACTTTCATACCTAAAGAAAGGAAGAAATTCTTTTGCCAAAAAAGCAGTCAAACAACAAACAGTAGGTACGTGCTAAACATATGTTGAAGAATCATAATCTGGACCTTTAAATTAACTAAATAAGAACCTTAACCACAGCACATGTAAGAAGTAGGAGATAACAAAGCACTGGTTTGACTATGAGATGAATATTGCACAACAAGAAGTTAAAGCTTCTGAACTGTTAGAAACAAAATACAATCCATAAAAATATAAACAGTAATGACTTAACTGTGCTCAATCATCCACATTTAACTGTTTGCAAATCAAGCAGGTGTAAGAAAAGTTCTTCTTATATACTTATTCTTATTTTTTATGAAAAAGCACAATTAGTCTTTTTGAGGTACTGTAATACCATAGTAAATATAGTTATTGTAGCATGTGACACCGTAGGTCCAAAAGAAGAGAACAGAAGCTTGTCTTAGCTGAAATTCACAAACAAAACTCAAACTGAAGTGCACCCGTTCTTATCACATTAGAGTGTACTAACAGGCAGTGTTACTATACTTTCCTATGCATTAAACTCCCTACTATTCTCAGTTTCATACATGCAGTATAACAGCTCCAACTACAGTTTTACTCCTCAGAGACTTTAAATACCATATACTAACCAGAATAGGAGAGTCCTGCAATCTGCATATAGAGCTCTTCTTCAGAGAAACTTTCTGGTAACATGAGAAAGGCCGCTGTGACTGCACTCTTCAGATTGCTAACAAGAGCAGCTTGCAGCTTGCCATTCTCATTCTGTGTCAGTATTTTCACCTGAAAAAGTCAGAGTGGTTGGAAGCAAGACTTCAGGAAAGTACTGCTGAAGATGGAGCTAGAAATGCTACTCAATCCAACACAAAAATAAGAAATTTAAGATTACTTCCTGTCATTGTGTTACAATACAGATTAGACCATCCACTTTTTTTTTTAAAATACAGTGGAAAAGAGGAAAATCTTTTTAAGAATTAACAAATCATTACAAAAGGCTGTTTTTACAAACACATACAGGACTGTTATAAGCAAAAGCCATTATCTAATCTCTGAAGAGTTATTCACCTTTCCATACTCATAAATTTAGGATTAATCAAACTAGAAACTGAATGCATCAACAGAAATATTTCCCATGTATCCAGGCAATTAAAAAAAAAAAAAAGGCAGTTCACTACTCCACTGAAAGGGAATAGAGAAAACAGCAGAAGAGGGAACTTTTTTTCCTCCTTTTTAATAGGATATAGTGATCTAGGGCATGGCAATGTACTGGAGTAAAACACAGACCTTCAGTTAAGAACTTCATGCAGAAAACTATTACAGAACATTAGACTGATAAAGCCAGTCTGGTTTACAAGATGGCCAACTATGCTCTTTCAGAAATGATTCTCCAAAAAGTAATTTCCTATTGTGAGTTTCTATCCCTTTTAAGTGTTGTAGCTAGGCAATACTGTCTTGCTTTACTTATAAAAAGCAGGTTCTTAATATTTGTTTACTCTCGATTATCTCAAAATTCAAGTTCTACTGGCAGTTACCAACAAATATATCCAACTCTTTCTCACCAAAAAACCCTGGCATGTACAAATGAATTGTGCTTCTTTGAAACTCTGGCCCCATATATAACCTGAAACAGCTAAGGCAGCTTATGAAGTAACTGTTTTCCATTAGGAATGGAAGTACTTATCAGTTAAGAAAAAAAAAAAAAAATCAGATTCAATAAAGAACACAAGGGAATCGGATATAGCTGCTACACAAAATTCTTGCAGAAAGGACATCAACAAAGCAACGTCATGGTTGACTGATACTATATTCAAAGCTTAAACTTCAATTAGAATCAAATATTTAAGAGTGATAAAACTAGAACAGTATCCCAGTTTGATTTGCTGGTAAATGCAATATCATAGTGGCTGCTCTTTTCACTCCTGCACTAAACCACAGTTTTGCCTTCAAATCTATGCAGTAGACTGGAATGCATCCTGAGTGGATTTCTGAAAAAAAAACTCTTCTGCATACTACTTTGTATTCTTTAGCAGTAAAATGAAAGGTAATTACAAAACACATTAAGCTACAATAAATTTGTCTGCCACAGAACCCAGAGTAAATCTGACTCCCTTGAAAACCACAGAAAAGTTCATTGAACACATACAGACTTGTTTAAACAAGACTCAACAAAAAAAATTTAGGAGGATCATGAGGATAACTAATACTTAAGAATCTCACCAAGTAATCTAGCTGCATGCATTTTTATAGCTTGTTGCTACAAGGAAATCATAACAAAAGACTAGAAGAGAAAAGTTTGTGGCACCCCAAGCAATAGCTCAAATTGCTTATACCTTAGGCTAGCCCTGGAAATATGAGCAAGTTCTGGACACGTTCTAACATACCAGAGTAAAAGCTTTTTAAACTGTGAAACTCAGAGATGCTACTCCTCCTCATGGAGGACTTAAAGACTCACTTTAATGAAGTGAAAGGAATAATCTCCTTTGCTGAAAATACTCCCCAACATGAGTGAACCCAACATAATTTCCAAAGGGAAATATGCAGAATTTAAGTGCATGAAACGCTGCAGTAGTGATGTCATTTATGAAGACATTTCAAACAATTTAGACAACTAGACATCTCCCACAAATATAGAGTGCAACATTAAGCACACAGCTATGGCAAGAATGAGTACTGATTCTTGTTGTAGTAAGTGTGAAATAATCCCAAAGTAAATTAAGGCCTTTTCACATTACAGATAACTTGAGACCAGAACTATTTACTGTACTACCCCCCCTTCTACCCCCTTCCCCCTACTATGAGGGGGAAGGAAGAGTACAGCTCATTCTGGTTTTATGGTATACACAGAATTCATTCAACTAACACTACATTTGAGATTTTAAAATTAAATATTTTAGATAAGGGACATATTCAATTTTATAAAGAAACAAGACTCACACTTAGCCAACACAACAGTTTAAGTAGGACATGCACTACTATTTCACTGCTTAGAATTCATAAACAAGAAACTACAAGAGTAGCTATGTACAGAAAAATACTTATAGATAAACAAAATACAAGAAGAAAATCTCACTACAGAATTAAAAGGTTTCAAAAGCACTATTCCAGTTTGCCATTAGGCCACATCGACCTTCTGCTAAATATCACACAAAAGGATGGAAAAAATCCTTTCACTTTCAAAAAAAATATGAATTTGGACAATGGAGAAGTTCTGTAAACAAGTGTTCTGTCATTCTTTCATGGGAATTTTTAATAACAAAAAAAAACTAACCCTCCCAAGATCACTCTAAAAATTTCAAGATATTTTTATACTATACTATTCATACTGCTTCCTCTCTCACAGCTCACTTCAACTCATTAAACATTCCCTTCTCTTAACAGTTTCTCCAGGACAACAGTAAATACAACTGCTTATACTAAGCGGATACTTACAGGCAATGTTTAACAAAAATTCAGTAACACTTCAGATGCTTTTAAAAATCTTCTTACTCTCTGAAAATATAGCTGTCATGTTTGCTTGCTTCCCCACCATCAGGAATCTTGTCAGAACTTACACTCAGTTTCATTCAATTTTTCAGTACAGTTAGATGGGCATTTAGTGAACTGACATCATAAGTTTCATTTAGGATGAAAAGCCAATAAGCTTCTAACACACAAACAAAGAAGCCTGGGAAGAAAATTTAGCATTTCTAAACAGCAATTCCAAACTTATATATTCTGCCAAGCATTCTGGAAAGATTATTCGGTCAAGGCAAACAGTTTATAACAGAAATAAAACCTTCTGTGAAAATTATGCCAATATTTCCAAGGCCAGAGCAAGTGTTTCAGCTCATGTGCTAGAATAGCTTGGATTCGCTGTCACTCAGAGTGACAGCTTTGTAAAGGAACACCAGCAAGGCACTCAGCTCTTCCTCCTCCACACAAGAGCAAGGAGGAAATTCCCAAACTGTTAAACAATATGGATCTGGCTCCAGTCAACTGTGTCCAGAACTAGCACAAATGGCAAATGGTATGTAAGAGATTATAGCGTATTCAACAAACAAACAAAAAAAAATTTACTCTTCTCCAAGAAAGGCTTATCACACATTTTAGAAGAAAAAAAAAAAAGCCTTCCATTACCATCACTTACAAAGTATATATCAAAACATCAAATCACACGTGACGCCAGAACCAGCAGAAATTTGAAATCCACAGGACAGATTCAAACAAATTATTTGGTCATATCTGCAAAAATAGTATAACATTTAAAAATCCTAGTTAGTGATTTTGCAGATTATTCTCCAGAAAGAGAAAGCTTAAAGATTCACCCAGTAATCTTTTGGTCAAATTCTAGCTTAAGTCCTGCAATCCTTATTCAATCCAAATTCCTGTGATCTTTATGAAAATAACTTGGGCTGATTACTTCTTTTTATCTATTAAGCACATTCGCATGAGGATACCTCTGGCTCTCTCGTTAGTGTCCAAACAAAATACCAAGTTCTGCCTTGCTGTGCAAGTACATACTCCCCATTGAATTTAATCAGAAGGCATGAAGCATAATTTAAAAATACCAAAAGGATGAAAAATTCAACAACAAATCAAAGCAGCAAGTACAGTTACACTGAAAAGAGAAGTCTTTATAGTTAATGTGAAATTCAAAATTCTTCTTTCAGTTATTTTTCCTCAATGTATTAAGTTTCATTCTTCTTAAAGATAACGGCTGTTCTAGCCTTTTTCGTGCCATAAGTCACTGAAGACAGGGAAAAAACAGTAGTGCTGAGACAATCTATTTAAACTTAGGCCCCAAATTTTTTAAACAAAAGGATAATTAACTTGCATTTTGTTTTAAGTATTGAACTGAATTCTCCCACCCTCCCAAGAAAATTTAATTTAGCACTGCTGCCATCTGCTGAAAGCACACTGAATCATGCACTTAGCAGGGGGCACAGACTTCACATTTTGTGCAACACAAGCATGGAGAAAAAACATCCAACGTTCTTAGCACATGATGTGGTCAGTTACAGATATGTTTACAAGACAACGAACTAGACAGTAACCACACAGCAAAACAGCTTCCATCTTTAAAGATGCTGAAGACTTCCACCTTCTAACTGTGTTAAATTTTAGCAACTCTTGTAATAGGTTATAAATGATGAACATCATTTTTAACATTAAAGGGACTAAGTCAGCATAGTCTAGACATTCAAGATGTAATTTGGCTAGAAAACTATGGTTAATATACTTACCTGTAGGTTTTTGACATAACACAATACAATTAAGGTCTACATTTCACTTCTCTTCTCAGAGATTATGCCGCTAGTAGAGCTACAGCCCTCAAATCAGGGCAGGAGATTTGTTCAATGCTGATGCAGACATCAGTAACCACTAAACTACTGCTGATAGTTTTCCATCCTTCCAATTTCCTGTTTTTAAAGACAGATAACTGAATAGACTAACAGTTACCGGTTTTTGTAGGCGTCCAGCAACATAGAGGGTTTTCCAGTGAAATAAGTCATCAATCAGGGCATCAGTGCTAATTACACCATATTTTATCATCTGAAAAAGCAAAATAAAGAGTTTAGAGCAAACATATAGTTGTACTGCTTTCATTTTCTGAAACTTACTATTTATTTACTACAACTGGCATTAATGCTAAATAATATGCCTCTCCAATTAAAAATTGGAGGCAAAAAATGAAACATTTTAATGATGTTTACATTTAGCTTCTCTGACAACTTTTCCTTCTAGGGTTTTGTTTTTTTTTTTTTTTAAAGTTTTCCTTCCAATATACCTCAGCCACAAGAAGTCTCTTTGACAGAACTCAAAGAACTGCCTGAGCATTATATAAACAATGAGAAGAGCTACATAAGTGACAAAGCTGCACAGCAAATTTGTTTTTTGTTGTCTTCTCTTGTACAAAGTAAATTTAACCGGAAAAAGCAGAGATATAACGTAAAAAGAAGGGTTACAACTATTTATTAGAGAAATTTTATATTCAACAGTAGCACTGATAGCAGTATTGCTTAAAACAGGCAAACTTAATTATGAGTTCCAAAAGTAAACTAGAATTTTAAATAAAATCAGTATATGGATATCTCATGGAATGCAGGAGGTAACAAAATCCTATTTCCTTGCAATTATTTTCAAAAAAGTAGAATGAGAAGATGCACAAAGCCTTCTAAGATCCTTTTTCGGAAAAAAACTTGCAACAAAGTCACCCTAAGATCAAACACTTAAGTAAAAGACTTCAAATCCCAAAGAAATCTAGACCCTGAAGAAATCTGAGCTTTAAAAACATAACTTCATGAATAAAGATTTTGAAAGGTTATGACCAGATCTGTATCAGCAAAATACTGCAATAGGTGGAATAATTCACAGTGACTTTATGAAACTGAAAAAAACAATAAATTATTTATCTGGGGGATTTAAAGTAAACAAAACTCCTGCATATTTATGGGTATTATATTTGGGGAGGAGGGTTCAGGGAGCTTTTTGCTTTTGCAAAACCACAAATTATTTTCTAACACCCAAGGGCAATTCAGTTTAAGAATTGATATTTTTCCAGTTATATAACGCTTTGTTAGCCATCTCCAGACCCCAAATTTCCAAAGACTATCACGAAATCAAGCCAGCCAACTCTCTAGACAACGTAGAGCCATCAACTGTGATATGACTGGCTCATTATAACATGAAATAAAGGCCTAAAGAGAGCCAAAAACAACAGGATTTCATAACAAAGATCACTATATTGATCCTCAAAACCAAAATCCCTTTCTACATACAGAGAACAAGGTTTAAACCCCAAATTCTTACCTCATTTAGCTGCCTTTTAAACAAAACAGCAAGCACACAACTGTCTCCTGTATCTAGCTCTCCACTCTCCTATCAAGAATTCTGATACATATCCAACATGGTTGAAATTGTATGCCCGCAGAAACTTTAGTTAGGCATATATTATTTGAATGGCATTTTTCCTCTGATTGTACTTTATTTAATTTCCTATTTTTCTTAAAGGATCTTGCTTTTCTTATGTACAGGTATTATCACATGCCAAAAATTACTCCAATCAGCACCAAGAAATACAGATACAGCCTTTTCTCTCCTGATCTCTCTCTCTCTCTCTCTGCACTCCTCCTACTAAATACTGTGCACATAGAAATATGGACATAGAACTAGAACTTACTAGACAAGTGTCACTTGCCTGGAGTTATTAATTATATCCAAAACTTCACAGGCCAAGGTGTCAGCAATTAAACAACACAGATGCCAACTGCGATTTGCTATGTTAAATATTTGTATTTTATGTCAAATAAACATTTAGAACGCACGTACCATTACAATGTGGTCAACTACTGACTTTAAATCCATGTTTCTCCACACATGGAAATACTGAAACACTTTAGAATGATCAAAGTTGGCATATAGCAAGTGATAAGGAAAATAAATTCAGTTTCTGAGGTACTCTGGTAGTAAATTCCAAACACCAGCATTTTTTAAATGCCACTGCAGCTGCTCTGTTTGCTTAATAATTAACGTGCCACTCGTGGAAGTTTGAGATGTGAACAGTGAGGATACCCCTCTTTAAGGATAAGTTACAGTATGTAAGATGTGCTTCTTGCACAGAAATCCACTTTAATCATTTCAATACCTTACACAAACACATTTAACTTTGTTTTATCTCAGACAAACACATTCAATTTATTCAAACTCAAACTTGTACTTACCCTACCATTACACGGCACTAGAGTATTGTAGTAAATCCCTGCTCCGTAGCTTTGTACATTACTTATCTGCTTTGGCCCAAAAACTTTTAGGAAGGAATAATGACTCCTGTTCTTTAACAGGTTCATCATATGCCACGTAATAGAATCATCAACAGCAAATACGAAGTCCAACATATTGTTCTATGGATACAAGGAAAAATAGTTACTTACGCGGCAGAAAAAACCAACCATCATCCTGTTATTCTAAAGTTCACGTATTACCCCAGCTACAGGCTAATCATTGTTTACACGATTAAAGGAAAAGCATAAGTATTAATATCAGATGCAGCTTAAAGGTTCTGACAGAGATGTATGTTTTCTGCTCAGTCTAGCTAAGATAATCCAGAATTTTCCTGTCCTGGTTACGTGACCAACCTTCCACCCTCTGAAACAAGTGGGAATGCGTGACAATCTCAGTTGTCCTAGTTCACGGCTCAACACAACAGCTTAAATTGTTAACAAAGAGGATCGTTGCTAACAAACAAGGCCACGAATCGGCAGGGGATGTGGGCAGATTTCGTTTGGCGAGTTCTACCTGAAAAGAGGGCAGGCACCTATGCCAAAAGCAGGGGTACAGCAAACAACTGGTAGAACTGGTATCTTCTGTGAATCCATCAGAACTCGTAACCGTACAAAGCAGTTGCCTCTTGTGCAGTTTTTTTTGTTTGGAAAAATCAGTTATATTTGAAAAACTGTGCATAAAGTCACCCGAGAGCTGGCAGCAAGAGACTTCATTTCGATTGCATTCACTTGCTTTTGTCAACAATACAGACTGCACTACAAACACGAGTGGCTTGTAATGTAAAATGTAATGTTCTCCTGAATAAAAAAAAAATAAAATAATCAGCCCCCACATACAGGTTGGAAGTTTATAGCCCATACCTACAATAACCTAATATTCAGGGGAACGTTACTTAAAATTCTTCAGGTGTAACTCTCTTCACAGATTACTAATTCCAGGCTGTTTTTTGGCTGATCAGCCAAAAATCCTGATCGAGGCTGATCAGTAGCTAACGCTACTAACGAGACGGCCTGATAACTACTTCTTCTTCCCACCTTTTTGGGCGGGAACGAAAGGCGTGCTCATCCGTGACGTGCTCGTCCTTCCCCTGCTCTTGCCTTCGCAGAAAAGAAAGTGAAACTCACTTAAACCGACTCTGGCAGGGCAGGCAACAACTAACAGGCGAGCCGTGACTAACGCGGCCGGCCTGATAATTTTAAAACGCCCAAACACGCGCACAGACACA